TGTCAGCACTCTGGGGGGCGTCAGCGACCCTGAATGAGAGCTGTTTGCGTGACGCGGTGGGGACAGAGCTTGGCAGGACCAGGATGAAGAGGAAACGGAGGAGGACGGCTTCTCCAAGCACTGTTCCTGTGAAGAGAGGACAGGACCTCACGGTTGCGGGGGTTGGGCAGAAGGGGCTGACGGCCTCAGAACCCCCTCCAGGCCGGGCGCGGTGGCTCACGCCTGTCATCCTAGCACTCTGGGAGGCTGAGGCGGGAGGATCGCTTGAGCCCAGGAGTTTGTGGTTGCTGTGAGCTAGGCTGACGCCACGGCACTCACTCTAGCCCAAGTAACATAGTGAGACTCTGTCTCAAAAAAAAAATAAAAAAAGAACCCCCTCCAGGGCCCTCTTGGCAGCGGCCTCCAGGAGGGGGAAGGGTCGGTCCACAGCGGGGTCACTGAGGGTCCCTGGCCCGCTCTCACCCCTCGCCTTCCCGTCCAGCCCAGCTCTGGTCCACTCCGGCCGAGCACACAAACGCCGCCAGACCCGGCGCTGTCCTCGCCTGGAGCTGCTGTCCATGTGCGCTCACCGCACTCCTGGGATCGGCGCTGAAGTTCGGAGGGAGATCCAAGCCGAGCGCAGCCGCAGTCTCTGGGCGGTTTTGAGTCTCCAGGTCAGCCTGGGAGTCCCAGGTTGGCATCCGTCGGTCCCTCAGAGGCAAAGGGTCCTCCAGCTCTGGGCAGCGCGGACCAGTGCGGGGGAGACCCACAGAAGGACTCGGCTTAACCAAGCTCGGCTCCTGCCCAGCCAGTCTCAGGGTAGGAAAAGGCGCAAGGCAGAGGTGGGGCTGGGCTTGGGCTCGTGGGGGCCTCCGTGCTCCCCAAGCTCTCACCAGGACCCACACATCCGTCCTCCCCTCTCCTCCTGTGAGGCCCTTTTCCAGCGAGCTCTGTGGCGTGGAGGGTGTGACGTCCCTCAACACGAGGGCTGCTCTGAGGGGAGGGAACCTGGTTTTCCTCAGAGAAAGCCCAGGCTGGGCCATGGGGACGCAGGGACCAGAGCAGAGGGCAAGGTGGTATCATGGCCTGAAATGCGCCCCCACCACCAAATCCAAGTGTTGAAGACCCAGCTCCAGGACCTAAGAGTGGGACTGTACTTGCAGACGGTGTCTTTAGAGAGATGCTGTCCTCCCTGGGTGTTAGTGGGGGATCGGTTCCAAGCCCCCCCTTGGAACCCAAGTTCACGATGCTCAGGTCTCTGATGTAAAATGGCGTCGCATCTGCGTAGACCTACACACATCCTCCTCTGTGAGTCCCGGATTCCCCGCAACGCCTAACACAACGTAAATACCATGCGGCGAGTTGTTATCCTGTATTTCTTAAATTTGTATCACTTTTTGTTGTTATGCTGTTGTTCATTGGTTTTTGCTTTTAAATATTTTGGATCCCCAAATGGTGGAATCCAAAGACATGGACCCTGGGACATGGAGAGCAGACTTCAGTTAACAGGAGGTCATTAGGGTGAGCCCTAATCCGACGTGACCGGTATTCTTACAAGACGTCAGGACACAGCTGCGCGCGGACGAAGACCACATGAAGACACGAGGAGGAGACGCCATCTGCAAGCCGAGGACAGGGGCCTCAGAAGGAACCAGCCCTGCCAACACCTTGCTATTGAACTTCCAGCCCCGGAACTGAGAGGACACCAGTTTTGTTGTTTCAGCCACTCAATGTCTGGCACGTTGTAGTGGCAGCTCGAGCAATTAGTACAGTGGATGAGAGAAAAAGGACTGGGTGGGGGCTGGGAGACCTAAAGGTCACCTCCTCCAGGAAGACTCTTCTGACTCCCTCCACCAGGAGGAACGGACCACTCCCTCCGCAGGGTCCTGTCATGAATGTCTGTCCAGTATCCAGGGCACTTATGAGCCACTCAGTGCTTTTCTGTCTAAGAATCTTCACTGGCCAACCTGGTGCCCTGTTGGGTCCACCTCTGTGTCCTCCGCCAGCAGCTCAGCGCCTGGTACCTGAGTGCATGGACGCTGAGTGATGAGCACCCTGTCTCTGCGCGACCAAAGCAGAGAGTCATTGCAGTAAGGGCTGGGAGAGGGTACGACGATTTGGAGAGTTTATTCCACTCACCCCCATCCCCTGGCCTTTTACGTTGCCTAAAACTCCAGCCATCAGCGTCACCTTTGGGCACAGCCATTCGAATCACACCAGGTGTTACAGGTAAGTGTTGCCCAATTGTGTGACAGGGAGGAAGAGAGACTGAGGCCTGGCGGGGTGGGAGGTGGTTCTGGGGGGCCGCGAGGCAGTGTGCTCACCAGGGAGTGTGAAGGGGCCGGGCTGGCACCAGCCTAGGCTTGCCAGACCTGCCAAAAAGCAAAATGCAAGACACATGGCTAAATTTGATTTTCAGAGGAACAAGAAAACTTTTTCTTTTTTTGAGACCTGGTCTCGCTCCATTGCCCAGGCTGGAGGGCAGCGGTCCAGTCACAGCTCACAGCAACCTCAAACTCCTGGGTTCAAGCTATCCTCGTGCCTCGGCCTCCCGAGTAGCTGGGACCACAGATGTGTGCCACCACACCTGGCTAGGTATTTTATTTTTTGTGGAGGCAGGATCTTGCTATATTGCCCAGGCTGGAAAAAAAAAACTTTTTTAGTATAAGTATGTCCCATGCAACATTTGGGACATACTTATACAAAGAAAAAAAAAGATTATTCATTGTTTATCTGAAAGTCAGCTTTAACCAGGTGTCCTGCATTTCATCTGGCAAGACTAGCCAGCCCCCTCCAGAAATCCTCCCTCCCCGGCACCCACCTCCACCACCGATGGTGCCCCCCTAAGAAGAGCTAACTGGGGACTTTCACTTCTGCTTCCTCAGCGACCCAGGGCCCAGAGGGAGAGCCCCCACCTCCCCTCGCCCTTCCACAGCCGGCCATGGCCAAACACAGGCCTCCCTCCCCTCCCCCGCAGGGGCTGGGGAAAGGGAAGGACCCCCTCAGCAAGAGCAAGGCCAGGCAGCCCCTCCCCCAGGAGAGCAGAGAGGACGGGCTCAGGTGGGCTGGGGAGTGGGGAGGGGGAGGGGGAGAGGGGGGGTCCCGTGGCCTCTGAACCAAAAGCTCATTTCACGCCTCAGTCCCCAGGTCTCAGCTTCCGCCCTCCGCTTCCCCTTCTGCCCGGAGCCCATGGCGACAGGACTGGGGAGCCAGCCTGTCTCAGGGCAGGCCCATGTGCCTCCTGATGCCAAGATGCCGCTGCTGCTGCTGTCCTTGCTGCTGGCCGGTGAGTGGGCCGGGGCCAGAGGGACCAGGTCAGAGCTAGGGCCGGGCTTACAGGTTGAGCCTCTGTCTCCCCACAGGGTCCCAGGCTCAGGATCTGGGATTCGAGCTGCACGTGCAGGACTCGGTGACGGTGCAGGAGGGCCTGTGTGTCTACGTGCCCTGCTCCTTCTCCTACCCTCCCATTGGCTGGACAGAGTCTACCCCAGCTTATGGCTACTGGTTCGAAGAAGGGGCTGACTCAAAGACTGATGCTCCAGTGGCCACAAACAAGGCAAATCAAGAGGTGCAAACAAGGACACGAGGACGCTTCCAGCTCCTCGGGAACCCGCAGAGCCAGAGCTGCTCCCTGGTGATCAGAGACGCCCGGAGGGAGGACAGGGGAGAATACTACTTTCGGGTGGAGAGAGGAGGCTACGTAAAGTATAATTTCAGGAACGCGTTCTCTCTGGAAGTGACAGGTATGCAAAGGGACCCCCCAGGGGACGGTGAGGGGCTGAGCAGGGAGGGCTCTCAGGGCACTAGGAGCCCCTCTCTGCCCCAGCCCTGACTCAGGAGCCGGATGTCTACGTCCCGGAGACCCTGGAGCCCGGGCGGCCGGCGACAGTCATCTGTGTGTTTGACGGGAACTTCGAGGAATGTCCGGCCCCCTCTTTCTCCTGGGCGGGGGCCGCCCTCTCCTCCCGAGGAACCGGGCCCACCACCTCCCACTTCTCCGTGCTGAGCCTCACGCCGAGACCTCAGGACCACGACACCAACCTCACCTGCCGAGTGACCTTCCCCGGAAGCGGCGTGAGCACACGGAGGACCGTCCGGCTCGGCGTGGCCCGTGAGTGCGGCGCAGACCGTGCGGCGCGTGAACAGGCCGGGTGTGGGGGGCGGAGGAGCCCCGCGGGGCTGCGAGCGGCTCCGAGCTCAGGAGGGTCCAGGGAGAGGAGGCCGCGGGGTCCAGGATGCGGCCTCAGCCCTGGGAGGGGGACGGGAATGGCGTCTGGCCCCTGTCCGCACGCGTGTGCTCTGGCGCTGGCCTGTCACTTCTCTTCCCCGGGATAGTCACAGTTTCTTGGCCCCGAGGGAGTTATTAGCACTTTGGGGGAATAAAACGTCCCTCCCTGAAGCCCCCTCAACCTTGTTGCAGACGCCCCCAGAGACCTGGCTGTCAGCATTTCCTGGGACAACGGGCCAGGTACTGAGGTCCCTCTGGGCTGGGGCTGGGCCTGTCCTCTTTGGGGTGAAAAGGCTTGGGGGTGAGGGTGAGGGGGCGTGCTGCTCCCTGCATGCCTCTCTCTCTATGTCTCTCTGTCTCTCTCTCTCTGTGTCTCTCTTTCTCTGTCTCTGTCTCTCTCTCTGGCTCTGTCTCCAGCCCTGCAGCCCCAGGACACCGTCCCACGTGTGCAAGCCCAGAAAGGCCAGTCCCTGCGGCTCCTCTGTGCTGCTGACAGCCAGCCCCCTGCCACGCTGAGCTGGGTCCTGGGGCACAGAGTCCTGTCTTGGTCCCACCCCTGGGGCCCCAGAACCCTGGCGCTGGAGCTGCCCAGGGTGAGGGCTGGGGACTCAGGGAACTACACCTGCCGAGCGGAGAACAGGCTTGGCTCCCAGCACCGCAGCCTGGAGCTCTCTGTGCAGTGTGAGTGTGACCAGCAGGGGCCTGGAGTCCTGGAGGGAGAGGGGGCGGGGGCAGGGTCGGCTCAGGGCCCAGAACTCTGAGGGGGTCCCCAGGCCTAGGGGACCAGGCCTTCTTACCCTTGGGCAGTTGGTGTGTGAGACTCAGTGGGTGACTCAGCCCCCCCATCCCACCCCAGCCCCCACCTCGGTCTCCAGGGACCTTCCCTTTGCCCAGAGGGAAGCCCTGGCCCATCTAGAGCGGTGCCCTGTGTCCATGCAGATCCTCCAGAGAACCTGACAGTGCTGGTTTCCCAAGCAAACAAGACAGGTAGGAAAGGGGGACAGAGGGACTGGGGCCTCTCAGAGCCAAATGCAGGGCCGGTGTCTGGAGGTCCCCATGCAGGAGGGTCCCTGTGCCCTCAGGAGGGCATCGGTTCTGCCTCTTCCCTTCCCTAGTCCTGGAAACCCTCGGGAATGACACGTCCCTCCTGGTCCTGGAGGGCCAAAGCCTGCGCCTGGTCTGCGTCACCCTCAGCAACCCCCCAGCCACGCTGAGCTGGGCCCGGGGGAGCCGGACCCTGAGCCCGTCCCAGCCCTCAGACCCTGGGGTCCTGGAGCTGCCTCGGGTCCAAATGGAGCACGAAGGGGAATTCACCTGCCGCGCCCAGCACGCCCTGGGCTCCCTGCACGTCTCTCTGAGCCTCTCTGTGCACTGTGAGTGGGGGAGGGGGCGCCTGGGTCCCAGAAAGGGGGCCCCTGCTGAGTGCTGTCCTCTGTCCCCACAGACCCCCCGCAGCTGCTGGGCCCCTCCTGCTCCTGGGAGGCCGAGGGGCTGCGCTGCAGCTGCTGCTCCCGAGCCCAGCCGGCCGCCTCCCTGCGCTGGCGGCTCGGGGAGGGGCTGTGGGAGGGGAACGGCAGCCACGGCCCCTTCACGGCCACCCCCAGCTCAGCCGGGCCCTGGGCCAACAGCTCCCTGAGCCTCCGAGGTGGATTCAGATCGGGCCTCAGGCTCAGCTGCGAGGCCCGGAATGTCCACGGCGCCTGGAGCGGCACCGTCCTGCTGCTGCCAGGTCAGGGGCCACCTGGCTGCTGAGGCTCTATTGTGGGGCAGGGCCTGGGGTCCTGCGGCTTCTGCAGGTAGTGACAACGGCAGTCCTGACCTGGGCCCGGCTGCGGCAGGGTGTCCTGGAAGCAGGGGAGGGGGTGCAGGCACAGTGTCTGCAGCGGGATCGGGGATCGGGAAGCCTGGATGCCCAGGGGGGATGGGCCCTGTGAGGCCCCCACGGAGGGCAATGCTCGCCCGAGCCTCCCTCTTGCAGACAGGAAGCGAGCCCGCTCGACAGCGCTCTTTACTGGAGTGTTTCTGGGAATCGGCATCACGGCCGTCCTGTTCCTCTGCCTCACTCTGATCACGTAAGTTAGGAGGGGCGGTGGGGTCTGGGGTCTGGGCCTGGGGAAAGGGAAGGGGCAATGTGCCGCCAACGTGGGGTCCATTTCCTCAGCGTGAAGATTCTATGGAAGAAACAGACTGAGGCAGAGACTCCGAGGCCCGCGCTCTCACGGGGCAGCACGATCCGGGATTACATCAACGTGGTCCCCAGGGCCGGTCCCCTGGTGAGTGGCCAGGCCACGCTGCCTCTCTCTTCTCTGCAGCCGACGTCCCCTCTTCTGACTTCCGCACACACCTCCTCCCGGTCCTGCCCCCACCCTTGGCCTCGGGAACATCAAGGCAGAACAAGCTCCAAGTACAGTACTGGGTTCAAACCAGGCTGCCACTTACTAGCTATGAGAGATCAGCCAAGTCACTCACCCCTCGGAAGCCTGATTTCTTCCCGTTTCCTTTGAGAGTTGGTTTGAGGGTTAGAACACGTGCATTTTCTCAATACGTAGCCGCTGTTCCACTATTATCGTCACCATTGACAATACTAATTATAATTAACTGTTTAATAATTATTAGTATCACTGAGAGGCAGTATTCCCTAGCAGTTGAGTGCAGAGGGTCTGAAGTCAGCCTGCCTGGGTTCGAATCCTGCTTTCATCACTGTGTGTTCTTGAACAAGTCATTTAACTTCTCTGTGCCTCAATTTCCTTAACTGTAACATGAGGACCATAGTAGCACTCACCTCCTAGGATTCTTCCAGGCATTCAATATATGGTACCTGCAAAACATTCAGAATAGTGCCTGCCCCCTAGTAAGTGTTCAGTAAATGCTAGATATTAGGAAGTAACCTCTTATGCCGATAACTCCAGAATTTATGTCTCCTGGCTTCTTCCCTGAACTTCATACTCATATCCCAATGCGATCTCCCTTTGGGAGTCTAATAAGCACTTCAAACTTATCCAAAACCAGCTCGAGACTAACCCCACCACCTATGCTTCCCGTCATCCACATGCTAGAAGTAACACGTTTGCCTGGCCAAGGCTACGGCCCTAGAACCTTCTTTCCCTCTCCTCTTCTCTGTCACCCCATGACCAATCTATCCGCAGATGCCCTTCAGAATACACCCACACCACCTCCCCCCACTCCCCCCTCACCGCTGCAGTCCTCACACCAATGTCCTGCAGTCCTCACACCAATGTCCTGCAGTCCTCACACCAATGTCCGGCCCCGGGCACCCCATCCCCCTCCGCACGCTCTCCCCGTTTCCATTCTCGCTCCCTCCAGTCTACTCGGGCGCGCTCTCCTTTTAAAAACCCATGGATCACTGCTCAGCAACCAAGAGGGACAAACAACTGATATGTGCAACATAGTTGGATGGATCTTAGGGACAAAAAAAGAAAAAGTGAAGAAATCCATCTTGAAAGGTCACCTACTGCATGGTTCCATTTATACTACGCTCTCCAAATGACAAAACGAGAGATGGGAACAGACGAGTGACCACCAGGGATTAGGGACTGGAGAGCGATGGGTGGGACCCCAGCAGGACGACACGAGGGAGATCTCTGTAGCGACGAGCAGTCCTCTATCTCGACTGGGGTAGAGGGTAGGAGCCTCTGCCTGGATTCGTGTCCTAGGGCCGCCACCACAAAGTGCCACCGCCTGGCGGACTTACACAACAGGCATTTACGTCTCACGTTTCCGGAGGCTAGAAGGCCCAGATCAAGGCGTTGGCCGGGCTGGTTCCTTCTGAGGCCTCTTTCCTTGGCTTGTAGACGCCGCCTTCTCCTCCTCGGAGCTCCGCGTGGTTGTCGCTCTGTGTGTGCCCATCGCCAGTCACGCGGGACCGGGGCCCACCCGCAGAACCTCCTTTTACTCTAATGACCTCTTTAAAGACGCCATCTCCAAACACAGTCACATTCTTCGGTACTAGGGATTAGGACTTCAACATAGGAATTTTGCGGGACCCAATTCAGCTCCTAACACCATTCATGTGATAAAACTCTACACACACACCCCAACGTTGACTTCCTGGTTTGGCTATTGTCCTATAGTTATACAAGAGGTGGCCACTGAGGAAAACTGGGGGAAGGGTACGTAGGACCTCTCTGTACTATTTTTGCAACTTCCCGTGAATCTATAGTCATTCCAAAATATAAAGCTGAAAAAAGAAAAACATAAATCAAAGCATCTCACTTTCCTGCTAAACTCTCGAATGACTTCCAGCACGCTTAGAATAAACCCAAAGCCCTCGCCAGGGTCTGCAGTGCTGGGCTCCCTCCCCAGTCGCATCTCCTACCTCTCTCCCCAGACTTGCCCTTCCTCGAACACACAATCCCCATCTCAGCTCGGGGCACTGGAATTTGCTGCTTCCTCCCCCAGATACTGCCTGACTCCTGGCCTCATTTAACTCATTCTCTCTGCTTCAGTATCAGCCCCTCGGAGAGCGTCCCTGGATGCTCTATTAACACGGACATCCACCCTCCCTTCCGCTGACTTCTGACCCTGCTTAATTTCCTCGACGGCGTCTATCACCTACTAGTTATTACACTCTTTCTTGTTTGTTGTCTGCTCCTGCTTCCAGGATGGAGTGCAAGCTCAGCAAGGGCAGGGACTTTGTGTTACTCCATGCCGTAGCCCCGGTTCCTAAATCAGTGCCTGGCACATGGTAGGTTCGCAAATACTTGTGGAATGAATGAGTGAAAGGTGGTGGTTATTCCCGCAGGCTCGGAACCGGAAGGCCACACCGACCACCCCTTCCCGGACCCCTCCTCCAGGCACTCCCTCCCCGGAACCAAAGAACCAGAAGGAGCTACAGCTTGTTTCCCTCGGTGGCCCAGGACCCAAATTGTCCACTCAAGACCCAGAATACGAGAACAACCAAGAGGAGCTCCACTATGCTGGGCTCAACTTCCCGGGCATCCGACCCAGGCCTGAGGCCCAGAGGCCCAAAGATACCCAGGAGGATTACGCAGAAATCAAGTTCCACTGAGGGTCTCTTGAGCTTTAGGACCGGACCTCGGCTAGGGAGAAAAGTAGAGCAATAAAGCGGTTGAGGAGAACAGAGTACAAAGTCTCTCTTTCTCTCTCTCTTTTTTTAAATCCTCCAAGGATGGGTCACACCACCTCAGACCCGGGCATTCCGAACAGCTTGACAAACCTGTCCCAAGCGGCCTGTCTGCACACAGTGTTCTGAGAGGCCAGGCAAAGATTCGCTCTAACACACCACGGCACCAGCCCAGGGATTACTCGGTCTCAGAGTCTCAAAGGAGGGAGGGCTTTTAAAGGTGACTGGACAGGTGCAGGCCGGGCGCGGTGGCTCACGCCTGTAATCCTAGCTCTCTGGGAGGCCGAGGCTGGAGGATCGTTTGAGCTCAGGAGTTCGAGACCAGCCTAAGCAAGAGCAAGACCCCGTCTCTACTAAATATAGAAAGAAATTAGCTGGACAACTAAAAATATATACAGAAAAAATTAGCCGGGCATGGTGGCACATGCCTATAGTCCCAGCTACTCGGGAGGCTGAGGCAGGAGGATCGCTTGAGCCCAGGAGTCTGAGGTTGCTATGAGCAAGGATGACACCACAGCACTCTAGCCCAGGCAACACAGCGAGACTCTGTCTCAAAAAAAAAAAAAAGATGACTAGACAGGAGTCACCTGGGAGGCTCCCCCATCACGTCCAGCCCACTGCCTATTTCCACATCACCTGCGAGCTAAGAGCGTTTTATACATTTTAAATGGTTGGGGGGGAAAAGTCAAAGGAAGACTGTTTCATGAAATGTGGGAATGAGATAAAATTCGAACTTTAGCGTCCATGAAGTCTGGCGCCCAGCCAAGCCCCTTTGACAGTTCGTCTGCGGCTTCTCAGACAAGGTCGAGCCGTGCGTAGGCCTGCGAAGCCTGAAGTATTTACTACCTCATCCTTTACAGGAAAAGTCTGCTGGATCTTAATCTACACCAACTCACTTGTTTTCGCAGAAGCAGCAGCAGACGCGGAAGTCCAGAGAGAGTTCACGAGTAGCCACGGCCAAAATGACTAGGTCTGTGACCGCACGGAGGGTCCCCCGGGAAAGAAGGAAAAGGCAAGAAGCCAACGGGGGGGCGGGTGCTGATCCACTCTCAGACCCCCAGTCTCAGGAACAGCAAAGGCATGAGGGGACGGAGGTGACAGCAAACCTACAGCGTGCTGCGAACCACACGTGTTCACCAGCTGGCGAGAGGCAGGGAAGAGGAACCTGCTCCTCAGGGCGCGGCATGTCCTTCCACGCCCCTGACCTCCTCCCTCCCCAGAGCTCACAGCCCTAACCGGCTCCAAGAAGGCCCTCGTGGGGAATGGTCACCACTCGTGGAATCGTGGACAGCACAGAAATGGAGCTGGCCTTCGTATTCTTTTTGAAAGTAATAAATTACACAATTGGAAGACTGGAAAACCCGAAAGAAAACGGGTAGAGCAGAAGAGGCACCTATGGTATTCTCAGGTCGCAGCGGGTACAGAAGTGGGCAGTGTAACAATGCGAACGGAAGCGGAAGGAAGGGAATTACTATTTTTGGTCGCCTAGTATGTATTTATAGTTATCTCCTTCGAGAAAAGCTGTGTAAGACAGGATCTCCACCGTGAAGATGTCTGAGACTCAGAGAGGTGAATTATCTTGCCTAAAGCCACACAGGAGCGAAACCTGCAGAAGCAGGAGCCCCACCCGCGGCCGTCCCGCGCCAAAGCAGCTTTCCCTGCTGTTTCCCAGTGTCTCCTGCAGGGGCGCTCCTGAGACGGAAGCAGCTCCGAGGACCCCAGGCCAGACCCGGGGCACTCGCTTGGCGCTGCGGAGGGACTGAGGCACCAAAGGCACCGTCTCTGACCTGGGTTATAGTCGACAGGATCAAAGTGCCAAAGGGCAGGCAAAGGATTTAGAAAGAAAGGCATCATTTCAAAAAGTGATGACTTTCAGTGAGAGGGAAAGCTGGCAGTGGGCTTGTTAATGTTTTCCAAGCATATGCAGACAAGTTTGGCCGGACGTCTGTAAACAGCCTTTGTTGTGTCCTGAACAAGAGAGTAACAGTACGGTATGTTCACACGTAACACCCACTTAGCCAAACCCTCTCCACCCCCAGAGCTGTCGATCTGTGAAGGTTTTCGTAACAGTGGCTAACACAGATTGAGCACTTACTACATCCCAGGCACTGCTGCTGATTTTCATAGTGACCCATTCAATATCCGCAAAGTCTTAAGAGGATTTTTTTTTAAACCAAAGACTGGGGAAGTTCCCCTTCATCTTGCCGGCCCCCTAAATTAGCTAGTTCTTCTCATAAGGCAGCAAGAAAAGGTTTACAACTCTAAGAGACAGACATTAGTCCAGAGGAGTTCAACAAAGCCCCTTAATTTGTCTACCTAACATAGTATTAGATAATAACCGTCTATATGTTGCACTGGTTTCTAAGCCATCACTGACAAGAGTCCTTTATCTAACTGTGTTTATCCTTCCAAAGAGTAAAGACTGCACCCCCCACCCCCAACCCATGGTCTTAGACAGGGAGAAGAAAAAGAGATTAAGGCCGGCCAGGTCCTTGGACACAGCCGGCCACTGCTTCCTCCCTGTGCGGTGACCTGCCAGCCTGTCTTAGATGCCAAATGACTCTCAGTCCTGTGTCCAGTCACAGCTTTCCTTCTCACTGGAGGCACCAAGAGGCAGGTTCTGACTTTTCTCTAACATGAATATTACAAAGAAGGTAACGTGTAAAAATTCTTATGACACAGCCAGATGTGAAAACCGAAGAACTCATAATTTTATTCCTTTCGTTAGCCACAACTCATTAAAAAATCCCCTCCCGTGAACGAAATGGCCCAAGCTTTGCGGTTCCAAGCTCTCCCAATGACAGCTTATGACAAACCAATCTGGTTCTCGGATGAAGATCACCGCACAGCAACTCACGACAACCACAACAACAACAAAAGCTTTGAGATGGAATTTTCCAAAAGTTCCTTTATACATATATTATCTCTATGTTACAGGTGAGCAAACTGAGGCACAAAAGTTTACAAGCATGCTCAAAGCCAAGTTATTAGTAAGACTCAATCCCAAACGATCTAACTCCAAGCACAAGCTCTTAATCATGACACAGTATTGGCCTTCTGGTGGACAGAGGGTGCCTAATAAAGAAGTGTGGCGGGCACATACACAGAAATGGAAAAGGATTTGCACTGTGTCCAGATTCTGCCACTTACTACCAGAATGACTGCAGACAACTCACTTTCCCCCTCTGAGCCTCGGCTGGCCCGCGTATTAAAACGAGGGTAATACCCCTATCACAAGGGACATGGTAATGACTGAATAAGAGAGCACAGACGAAGACATTTCACTGAACCAAACAAAAAGCTGAATTAGCTGCAAGGACTGAAGTTGGCCCCCAGAAGCCAGCGCCATACACAGAGAGAATTACAGACTCATGGTGCCGGCTCACCCAATGCAGCCACCTCATGTTATAGATGGGGCTTAGAGAGGGACACGGTGTTGCCTAAGGTCACACAGCTAAACAGCAGAGCTGGGATTCAAACTCGGACAGACCCTACCACGGATGAGCACTGCAGATTACGCAGCCCCCTTTCACTAAGCTCAGAGTGGGGCGGATGCTGCAGAGGCCTTGAGAAAAAGGGAAGTCTCTAGAAGCTACACAAAGGTTGGGGGATTCTGCTTTCCTTCTCCCCTGGCCAAATCCTGCCATGAGAGCAATCCCTCACCAGCTGTTTGACCAGGGAAACCACAAGACTGCATTGCTACCGCATCGGGCTTGACCGGGGACAGTAACTCCGAAATATCTGTGAAGGTCTTGACCTCTGCAATAATGACTCGGGACTTAGAGCGGGCAGAGAGGGTGTTGTTTTCCAGCACTCACAGGGGAAAGGCAATGTTGCAAGAGAAGAAAAAAATCCACCAGGCTTAGGGTCCGAAGACCCAGCTGGGACCTTCCGTATTGCCAGATACTCTCTTTAGCCAGTTAATCGAGGACTATTAACTCCAGCAAGTATGAATACAGTTCTGTTTTTCTGATCACTGATTCGGTTGGGCCCTGTTGAAACTTTTTCTCATTCCCTAACGATGTCCCAGACATTATGTAACTCTCCAGTCAGTTCTGGTTATTAAAACTCAGCCTGGTCTTAAACCTTAACCTCAAACTCAGTTTGGATGCCATAGCCTCTCCTGCCCACGCAGCACAGGTTTAAGCTGGGACCTGACTGCTAGGAGGAGAGGTAGACCAGTCGGCTCTGAAACTCCTCCATTTCTACTTTAAGGCCAAGTTTCCCAAAGTACTGGGGCCTAATGAAGGAACCGCTCGCTAATGGGACAAGTGACTCTCGACCTAACTGGCCACAGCTGTGGCCTCTGTTGGCTGAAGTTGCTTCTCTGGCTAACACTGGCTGGTTCTGTGAGTTGGGGGCTGTCCACATTCTGGCTCTTTCAGGGAACAAAATGATGTGGACTCAGAGGGGAACCCAATGAGATTGTCTCAACTTCTCTGTTTCTTGACATGAGAAGGTGTCCGCCCACACCTCCAATTCCACCACTGGCAGATACCACACAGCCTCTTGCTGCCTTCTTGGGTAAGACAGCCCTGGGTAACTGAGGCCTACCTGCCGTCCATGGCACCCACTCAACCCCCTGCTATAGACTCAATGTTTGTGTCGCCCTAAAATTCTGTGTTGAAATTCTAATCCTCAACATAACGATATCGAAACAAGGCCTTTGAGAGATGATTAGGTCACGAGGGTGGGGCCCTCATGAATGGGATTAGTGCCCTTATAAAAGAGACCCCAGAGAGCTTGCCCTGTCCACCATGTGAGGACACAGATAGAAGGTGCCATCTGTAAACCAGGAAGTGAGTCCTTACTTCCCTGAATCTGCCAACAACTTGATTTTGGACTTCCCAGCCTCAGAACTGTGAGAACTAAGTTTCCCATGTATGTAAGGCATACGACCTACGGTATTTGTGTTATAGCAGCCC